TACAGATGATCGCAGGGTGCCTTCAGCTCTGACAACACAAACTCAGAAGCGCCCTCTACCACAGACATTTCCATAGCACAGCATAAGCCTTCAGAAAGTTTTCATAAACACTGCATTCTTGAGCACAAGTTCTAAATGAGATTCTACTTCATCTTACCACTTTGTTAAAGTACAGACATATTAAGAGATTTCTTCACAGTTCTGCAGAATTAGAACTAGCACCTGGTCCCCAATAATTAGTCCTCTCCTCTAAATCAGGGTGACTCATAATAAATAAAGTTAGAACAAAACCCAAAATTATACAAATACCACCAAGGCCTGCTTTAAAAAATATATTTATAAGCAGTAATATACCCACAACTCCAGTATACACTGTTCATGAGTGAGAAATGGATCTTAATTAAAAAATGTGCAACTCCACTGACTTTACAGAATAAAAACAGATTATGGGGGTGGGGGGCGGAATACTAAGAACAACTGTAAGCCAACCAATTAGATAACATTAATGGCCAAATTCCCAGAAAAGACATAAACTACTGACACTGACTCAAGAAGAAATAAAAAATGTGAACACACCTATCACAAGTAAAAAGAATAAATTACTAATTTAAAAACTTCTCAGAAAGAAAAGCCCACATGGCTCCATCAGTGAATTCTACCAAATATTTAAAGAAGAATTAACAACAACTCTTCACAAAGTCTTTCAAAAAACAGAGGTATAGGGAATACTTTATGAGGCTTGTATTATTCTGATACAAAAGCCAGTTAAGGACATCCTAAGAAAAGAATACTACAGACCAGTGTCTCTCATGAATACAAATAAAAAATATTTAACAAAATACTAGCAAATCAAATCTATCAATACATGAAAATGATTACAGTTTGTGACCAAATGGGCTTTTATCCCAGGAATAAAGTTAGTTTAAGACCCAAAACAGAATAGAACCTTTAAAGGACAAACTCAACTTGACCATCTCAGTAGATACAGAAAAAGTATTTGACAAAATCCAACACCCTTTCATGATTAAAAAAAAACCTCAGCCGACCAGGGGTAGAAAGGAACCTCAAAACCGATAAAGGGCATTTATGAAAAACCCACAACTACCACCATATTTAATGGGAAAAGGCAGAATGCTTTCTCCCTAAGATCAGAAACAAGACAAAGATGTCCATTCTCTTCACTTCTGGGTTAACACTGTAGTGGAGGATCTAGTGAGGGCTAGCAGGCAAGAAAAATAAATAAAAGGCACAAGATTAATTTCAAAGAAAGAAATAAACCTATCTCCACTTGCAGATGACATGATCTTGTATACAGAAAAGCCTAAGAAATTCACTAAGTAACAATCCGAATGAGTAAACAAGGCCAGCAAAGTTGCAGGAAGTGAGATCAATACAAAGTTTGAATTGTATTTTATTTATTTATTTTTTGAGAGGGAAGAGAGAGAGAGCGAGAGAGAGAGAAACATCAGTGTGCAGTTGCTGGGGGCCATGGCCTGCAACCTAGGCACATACCCTGACTGGGAATCGAACCTGCGATGCCTGGTTCGCAGCCCACGCTCAATCCACTGAGCTATGCCAGCCAGGGCTTGAATTGTATTTTTATACACTAGCAATGATTATTGTTTACACAGAATCAAAAAATAAAATTAGAAAACAATTCCACTTAGAATACCATGAAAAAGAATAAAACACTTAGGAATAAATTCAACAAAATATAAAACCTGCACTCTGAAAAAATTATAAAACGTTGTTGAAAGAAATCCATAAGATCTACATAAATGGAAAATACCCTACAATCAAAAATTTAGTATTATGATGGCAATGCCCCCAAATAGATCTATATGTTTTGCAATCCCTATAATTATTCCAACTGCCTTTTTTGAAAAAACTTACAAGCTAATCCTAAAATTCATATGGAAATGGAAGCAACACAGAATAGCCAAAACAATCCTGAAAAAGTTCTAAGTTAGAGACCCATACCTCCTGATTTTAAAACTTACCAAAAAGCTACAGTACTCAATATGTCAGCCTCAAGAAAAGACATGTAGACCAATGGAGCAGAACTCAGAGTACAAATATAAATCCTTACGTTTAAGGTCATTTGACAAGAGTGGCAAGACAATTCAATGGGGAAAGAAAAGTCTTTTCAATAAACAGTGCAAAAGACTGAACTCAGACCCCTTCCGTATACTATATGCAAATATTAACCCAAAATAGATCATAGACTTAAATGTAAAAATTAAAATTACGAAACTCATGAGATTTCACTTCATATCTATTAAGACGGCTGTAACGAAAATGACAGAGAAACAGTAACAAGTGTTAATAGAGATGTGGAAAAAATGGAACCTTCATACACTGCTGGTGGGAATATAAAATGATGGCTCAGCTGCTTTGGAAAACAGTGGGACAGTCCCTCAAAATGTTACACACAGAGTTACCACGTGATTCAGTAATTCTACTTCTAAGCATCTATGCAGGAGAAATAAACACAGGCATCCACAAAAAGAATCTGTTCAATCAAGTTCACGGCAGCATTATTCATAATAGCCAAAAAAGTGGCAATGACTCAAATGCTCATGAATTGAAAAGACAAGTAAAATGTATCATCAGATAATGGGCCATTATTTGCCAATAAAAAAGAATGAAGTACTAACATATGGTACAACATAGATGAATCTTGAAAACATTATGCCAAGTAAAAGAAACCAGTCACAAAAGACCACATATAATTCCATTTGTATGAAATGTCCAAAGCATGAAAATCCAGAGACAGAAAGTAGATTAGTGTTTTACTAGGGCTGGAGGGTGGGAAGTAAGGGGAAGTGACTACTTATGGGTATGGGTTTCTTTTGGGGATGATGAAAATATCATAAAATTGATTATAGTGATGGTTGCACAATTCCGTGAATATACTAAACACAATGAATTGCATACTTTAAATGGGTTAAATGTAATGTATGGTATATAAACTGTATCTCATAAAGATGTAAACAAATAAAATAGAAATTGCTCGGTCTAGTGCCAGACGCAGAGTGCACCATAGCTTTAGTGACAATTATTTGTAAAATGCATTGTCAGAGACACCACTATCGAAGGCAGTAACTATGCCTTTTATAGGTATATTTAACAGGTGTCATATTAAAAAACAGATATTGTCTCAAAATGGAAATTTGCAAATCAGAAGTGACTGGGCCCAACGCCAGAGATGGCTTGTGCAGGATCACATGCAGTACGTGATTAGGGCTAAAGCAGCCAAGAGGAGGGTACTTCTCACTAATGCGCCCCATTGTCTTCTGCCAATTTGCAGGTGGCCCCTGGGGTATCCACTGAGCAAGTTCAGTAGGAGAAAGCAGGGGAACTGCCCCAGAAGGCACAGATAACAATGCCTTTAGGACCAGATTTTAGGAGGGTGAATAAGTAAGGGAGGACTTTTGGTGGGAGGAAGAGGGAGGTAGGATGGCAGGAAAAACAAAACAAAATGGCAAAGAGAAGGCAAGATGATACTAATGGGCTGCTATGGTGGTAAAAAAGCAAAAATCTAAAAATGTAAAATATACTAAAAAATGGCAACAGTATTCACTTCCCTCTTTGTACCCAAAAATACTTGTAGGAGAAAATGAGGAGCAAATAGAGAGATGTGAAATTTTTAAATGGAAAGAAAAGTAAAACACATTGTAAAAAATTCTTTAAAATATTTTTACTTTCAGAAAGTCATTATATGTTAACTTATAGGAGTTCCGACTGTGAAATTCATAGGCTTTAAATTTTTGCAGCATTACTTAGAAACACGAGTAATAGCATTTACCAAGTGCTTACCATGTGCTGGGATGGTGTGCTGAATTTATTTTCTAATCTTCATCCTGGTGTTCAGTATTAATAATCTCATGTTAAAGAAGAGGTAACTGAGGTACAAAGGTTAAGTAAGTTGCTCAAGGATAGAAAATCTACAAGTGGCAGAGTTGAAATTTGAAATCAGGTGCCCAATTTCAAAGTCCAGAAATTTACTATCATGCACACTCATATGTCCCAAGTACAACATCAGTGGTTCATGAAACAATTTAGGTGGAACAGACTGGACCATCTGATATTAGTATTTATCTATAATGAAACATCAATTTCACAATACTTATATAAAGCTTTCTTTTCAAACAAATATGTAAAAAAAAGATGTTAGTCAAGTTTTAAAAAGAAAACAGCATAATGCCTAAAAGGGAATATGGAAAAAAATCGCCTGATTTTCTGAGAAGCTGAAATTCTGAGTACCTTTAAAAAATCTTCCCCGAGTTCTAATATTCTTAAAATGTTCATGTTTTTTTTAAAAAAAAGCATTTAAAAAGTCTGTTTTAACCCCTCAAAACATATATAACCATCCTATGAAGTATATTTTCCATTGGTTCATCCCACAAAATTTTAATATGCCTACCACTGAGCTCCCTCCCACTTCTGAGTGAGCCTCTTTCTCCCTCAAGAAAGTAAAAATTCCTGATATTTATCAGATTTCTTATTTTTTCATTCTATACCAACTTACCCTGAAGCTCCAGGACCATACAACTTAACTATTTATTCGAAGGTCCTAGGAATTTTTCTTAAGAGAAAGACTTGCAGGGAACCTAACAGGCATATGCAACTAGTTTTTAAAAGGCAAGGGTTACTGTGCTATTCCTTTAGGGCTCCTCTGTATCTGATAAGCTGCCTACCTCTGGCACCCAAATAAAGAAACTGCAATTGGCAAAAGGGGAGGACTCTGTTTCATCCTAGTCCCCAAAGGGCCAAAGACCTAGCCCAGGTACTTCAGTTTCCCATGAAGAGACACCTCTAATACTTTGGAGATAGTATCACAGGCAAACAAAACCATCTCTGGCTTTTCCATACAGTGAAAAGGTTCAGAACTCTTAATGTTTTTAGGCAAGTCCTCTTTCTGATGATGGCTCAGAGTCTGCTTTACTTTTTGTCAACCTCCAGATGCCAGTCACCAGGCCAAGGTGGCCCTCACCCACCTGTGCATGTTCCCATTGGTGGTAAAAGACTGGCCACACACAGTGCACTTATAAGGCCTCTCGCCAGAGTGCACCAGCATGTGGCGATCCAGGGAGCTGGCTGAGCTCAGTGACTTCCCGCAGATGCTGCATGAATGGTCTGCCCCTCCAGTGTCCGTGTTGTGCTGCAGAAAGCAATCACCACAGTGGTCACTTCAGGTGGGTCAAAACTTGAAAACGCAAATTTAGATATAATAAAACCAGTAAAAGTTCTCAGCTGTTTTTTTTCTGTTTCCTTTTAAATATCTTCCCAAATGTCAAAATTTATCAGGAGCACAGGCAAATATGTATTCTGTACAATTTTCTTCTATCCCCATGTTTGTTTTGAAATGTACTTCTGCAAGGCTCAGAGAGCTAGAATCTTTGAAGGTCTTTCTTGGAGACACATACAAGTTAACTGACCACATATATCACATGAACAGGAAGACTGTCAACTATGAAGCAAGCATGCAAAATATGGTCTTCATGTTAAGTCAGTATCCATTCCCCAGGCTTGCTATGAGGGGAAGAGAACAGAAATCTGCAGTTCAGAGAGGCCTAACAGCTGAAACATGTTAAGAAGGAATCTTTTTATCCAAACCCAGTTATTAATGTTATTATTCAGTACCATGTTATAATTTTAACAATGTCACTCTTTCACTGTTCCAGATCTATCAACAATTCATCATGAATCAGTCATAGCAGGTGAAGGAGAAGGAAAAAAATCTCATTATAAAGGAGAAAAGCCAAGAGATTCTCAAATCAAGTCAATTCCTTACTGCATGACATAAGGCTGTAACACTATAAAGAGTAGGGGTCGACGCCTACAGTCTCACTGTACTGTAAGGGGACTTGGTTCATACTGACAAGTCATGTATGATGCAAAGTCTTCTGTTATATGTGGTCAGTTAATGTGATATTTGCTAAATTCTGAAAAGGTATTCTGTATTGATCTGGGACTTTGTCTCTATTACAAGGCCACAAAAATTATTTCATAACCACCTCTCAAAATAATTAAAATATTAAATCTAAATTAAACACAGCCACAATTCATACACTGAGATCAAATCATCTTGCTCTCTTAATAAATGATTACAACAAAAACATAAAAGTAGTGCAAACCTGACGAATGTGCATAGTTAACTGATGCTGTGTAGTGCAAATCTTTTCACACAGGGGACAGTTATAGGAAGACTTCTCCTCTTTCGTTTCCTGAAAAGATATAATAAAAGGGAGAATCAATTTCACCTCAGTGCACTAGTGCCTCCTTGTTTCTGTTATGAGCACCTGTGTCTCAAGCTGCAGCAACGAAACAGCCGAGAGGATGGGCTCTGGAGCCTGCCTGGTGTTCTGAGCCTGGGCAAGTCACCATCCTGCTGGTCCTCAGTTTCCTCATGTAAAATGGTAAGAATAATAGCTTCTATCACATCACCCTGTGATGCAGATTAACTCAGTCAACACACGTAAAGCACAGGAACAGTGCCTGGCACAGGTTAAGTGCTCAATAAATATTAGTGCTCTTATTAGACAGATACCATTTAATGAATCATCAGTGATGGCGGAAAACAAAGCATCAAGTCATGGCAGAGCTAGAAAAGGAATCTCTTCCCAATCTAACCAGGCTCCAGCCACTCTTTTCCACACATGAGATGTGATGAAGTTCTCACATAAAAACCCACCCTCCCAATAGTGGGGGGCCTCTGGGCCCAGCTGTGTGCCCAACAGGCATCAACACGACCCCTTTCACTCCCTGTTGGCACCAGCTTAACACTGCTCACAAACAGTAAATAAGAATCAGAATGCTGGCCTGTGGAAACTGTGATGATAAAGAGTGACAATGCAAACTGAAGACTTTCACAGAGGTGACAAAAGAACCAGCTCACTACTTGAAAAGGGGGCTCATTTTATGTTCCCTCAAAACAGGCTTCTGTCAAGCAATATGTTTTACCTTTTTAAGGAAAAGGACAGGCTCCTTCTCTACCAATACAACTTTTCTTTCAAATCCTTCATAGAGAGTTGTTATGGGTGTGCCTATCATAGCCATTTCACACACTTAACCCCAAGGCACCACAGGTCTCTGTACTCATCCCCAAAACTAGCAGGATCAAGGCCTGGGCACCTCTCCCCAGGAATGTAGAACTGAGATGCCAGAGACTAAGATCCGTGGGTTTCCAAAGACCAGTAGAATCACCTGGGGAGCTTTTTGCACTACAGAGTTCTAGATCAGACACACAACAGGCTGAATTAGAATCACTGGGTACAGGCAGCTGACTCCCTGCAGTGTTTCACAAGCTCCCAGAAGACCCTGGTATGTGCCCAGGTTTGGGGATGACTAAGAAACTAAGTTAGGTGATCACCAGCACTTGAATTGAAAGTTCACACAGGGTTGGGGCCAGACCCAGAGGCATGGTGAGCCCAAGCCACACACACAGCCGGGGAAGCCATCTGTGCTAATGGAAGTGGGAGATGAGGCAGGCCCAGACAGAGGGAGGGCTGGCCTGGTCGGCATCTTCCAACAGCCTTCTTTTTCCTTGTGCTCATCTGAATGGATTTCTGTTCCTTGAAAATAGTATCAATTATTGAACACTTATGATGTGCTAAACTCTGTACATATAAAAATGTCAGTTTTTTCAAAACTACTAAGACACAGCCACTATTATGGGTCCCATTTTCTGGATGAGGAAACTGGGGTACAGAGAGGCAAGTAACCTGCTCCAAATCAGAGAACTGTTACAGAGACTCAGGATTAAAACCCAGGCCAGCTTCTCAACAGGCCATGCTAACCACTGTGCTATATAAATCTGACAAAAAGATGAACCCCAAGGCACAGAAACACCCAGGTGGTTGGCTATGAGAGATGATGAACACAAAAGTCACCCTGAAGACTATAAAAACAAATGGCACCATAAACCAGATGGGTGGAGTGAATGCATGATGATGTCTAGTACATAGCTAGCTGCTTTTGTGGTTCCCTCTCATGCTTCAAAGACTAGCAAGCCTCATTTTAAGCATTTTAGTAGTGACCCCTTCGCTTTTCATAGTTTCAGCTACTCATGGTCAATCCCGATCCAAAAACATTAAATGGAAAATTCCAGAGAAATAAGTGATTCATACATTTTAAATTGCATGCTATTCTGTGTAGTGCGATGAAATCTCACGCCATCCTGCTGTCTGCCTGGGACGTGAATCATCCCTTTGTCCAGCTTCTCTATGCTGTATACACACTTGTCAGTAGCTATCTTGGTTGTCGGATCGACTGTGGAGGTATCACAGTGCTTATATTCAAGCAGCCCTTACTTGACTCTGTAATGCCCCAAAGTACAGAGCAGTGATTGGGCAATTCAAATGTGCCAAAGAGAAGTCATGAAGTGCTTCCTTTAAGTGAGATTTGTATGTATAGGAAAAAACACAGTACTGTAAATAAAGGGTTTAGCACTATCCACAGTTTAAGGCGTCCACTGGGGGTTTTGGAAAGTATCCTCTGTGGATAAGGGGAGGATTACTGGACAAACCTTTTTTCTAGTCTGTGGCACTGGGTCTGAGAACTAGGTATGTTATACATTCTTTACTCTCAAATTTTAGAAACTTACAGACATGAATTCTAAGGAAGTTGATTAACTCAGAAACAGAAAAACCTGCCAGACTCACTGAGTCAGCTGCAGACTCCCACTCCTCACAGAGGTCCTGTGCATGTGCCTGGGGGCAGGGCAGGGGCACCCTACCTCCTCAGCCCAGTTCCCCCACAGTCAGAATGGAGCTAGCCAAGAATCACCAAAGAAAAAAACAAAACAAAAGTAGCAGTGACAAAATAAGAGCACTCACTTTAATAATAAAAAATGTCTCATAGCCAGGCCAAAACTCAGTCTTGGGTGTCTTTGTTGAATTATTAGATTAGCGCTACTACATATTAAAAAATTTTTTAGAGGAATATTCATCAGCAGGATGTAAATAAATGTAAAAAAGCCAGGTCTCCAAGTGACTAGCTTCTGGAGGAGGCAAAAATTTTTTTTTAAAAATCATCTTTCATTCACCTTGAGGTAGATGGCGCTAACATTGTTCTGGGGTTTATCATGAACTGGAACCCCAACTTTCTCTGAGGCTGGCAGTGGCATGCTGCAGACCATACTAGAGACCCACAAAATCCACAGGGCTCTAGGGGGACATCTGTGAACTCGGACTTTATTTTTGTAAACAAACCAAACGGAAAAGACAGCACCACGATGCTACAAGAAGCCCTGCAGGAGAACTCTGACTCCAGTTATTGGGGCCGCGCTAGTGGAAGGAGTACACTTCCTGAGATGACAGATAAAATTAGCAGCTAATGTGATAACTAACCATTCCATGATGAAACAAGCTGGCACCCGTGCCAGCGTCCGGCTGTGGCTAATCTGTCCTGGAGCTCGGTGCTAGCACTCATGGGGCTCCTCCCCAGCGCTCCCTCCCTCTCAGCCCTCCACGGCACTCCCAGGTGAGGATGAAGCACTGTCTCCCCCTTGAATGCACTGTTTTTGTTTGTTCTTCCAATGCACCTGACTTTCCCATGATACCTCTGGCCCAGACTTCCCTTTCAAAAACTAAGCCAGTGCCCTGAGGAACCTGGAGGCACAGGAGGCAGATGAAAATAGCCCAGGTACACACCTGTACCATCTGCTTCACTACACTTGCACAATCACCCCCAATTAACATGCAGGGACAGAAGGGCTCTACCTACTGTCTCTGAACCACCGGGAAAGGCCCAGAGCCTGGACTTATGCTACCTCTGCCTAAGCTGGGCTATTTAAAGAGGAGGTGATCCCTACCTACCACATTCTCTGGGGAGAACAGAGAAGGAAGAGGAGACAATGACCTTATCTATCTCATTCATCCGGAAATGCTTGACACCCAGGGGCAGTACCTGGCTGAAAGCAGGAGCGGGTATGTACTGTGAATTGAGTGAATGAGTGGAGAGATGAACAAATAGATGGAAGGAAAGACAGTCATGTGAGAATAGAAGTAAACCTTTTCTTCCAAGAGCTAGTGCTCCTTCTTGACTCAGGCCACAGTCATACAGGCTGAGTGTTTTCTCAGGGACCCATAGGAAGAGAAGCATGTGGAGACAAGGGAAAAAAAGAGAGAGAAAGGTATCAGTGCTCCAACCCTAAAACACTGTTTAACTCTGCCAAGTCTTCAGCCTTGAGAAAGGAGTAAAGAAAATGAGCACTCCCATGCTATGGAGGGATTTTAGGTTGGCACAACTTTTCCTGGAGGGCAAGTTATATCAAAAGCCTTACTTAATGTTTTACTTCTAAGAATTTATAGAAAATCATCATATATGTGCTCAGACAACTCTGTATAAGGGCAGTCACTGTAAGATTGTTACTTAAAAGAAATTAATTTCCAAAAGCCCAACAAGTTTACTTTTGTCTCCATCCCTGGTATCTAGGCAAACTCTTAAGACTGCCTGTTCCCTAAGGGTTTGGTATGATCCCATTAAATCAGTCAAACCAAAAACCAAATGTGGAGGAGTCAGTTCATATGACATGGATTCAGAGAAGAAATGAGATCTAGTTACTTTCATTCCTTGAGCTTTGTTGAACACGCTGCTAACAGGACAGCAACCGCTCTGCAGGCGACCCCTTGGTATGTCATTTAAAAGGTTCATCTCATTTCCCCATGGAGGAGACACAGGCTTTCACTACATCATTGATCCTCCCAATCCCTGCCCACTCATTTACTCTTTTCCTCTTCTCCTGATCTAATGCCCACTAAAGGTTCAAAAGGACTAATTCGCCTCTGATGTGGAATTCTCTGGAGCCAAATTCTGTGCTTTGTCACGGGTGGAAAGCCGGGGAGCAGCCCCAGCCCGACCAGTGCTTATTTGTTCCCTAATCTAAAGATATGTGTAAAAAAAAAAAGCCAATCAGGTGGCTTTGAAAACAACATGAACCATTTTTGTAAGTAAGGTAAGTAAGGAAACGAACCACATCACAGTAGAGGACTAAGTTCTATGCCTTGGACATCAAATGAAGAAAGCTGACATTCAAATGAATTTACAGGGCAGAGAATCAGGGCGTCTTCACCCACACTGATGCCACAGCACAGAAAATTTTCTCCATTGAGTCAAGGAAACTGAAATAAGCCATGAAAAGTTCACACTTGAAAAATGATTACAACCTCTGGGTATGTCTATTTACTTCTCAGTACGAGGGGAGATTCCACCCCCCCCCCCCAAAAAAACTGGAATTATCTTCTGGACGGTGAGCCCCTTGTATAGTACAGGCTTCCCCTGCTGGGTGAGTGTTCTAGGAACCCATCTGTATCAGTGCACCAGCTGGGGATGTTCTGAGAGGCTGCATTGGGCTTCAGTGAGTTTTTTTAAGATTCTTTCAGAAAGTTTGCCCATTTCATGATGGGTGATTTACAAGTGCACCTGCCCACATGGAACTGAGTGTTCAGCAGTTTTTGACCAAAAACATCATGACCCCCGTGCCCCACCCTCGCTATTCACTTGATCTCCCCCAAGCGACTTTGCTTGTTTCCCTGGATGAAAAAAGTCCCCAAAGGGAAACATTTTGCTGATGTGGAAGAGGTGAAACAAAAAATGGCAGAAGCACTACAAAGCATCAAAACTGATGAATTAAAGAACTGTTTTGAGCAGTGGAAAATACATCTTGATATGTGTATTGCATCAAGTAGAGAGTACTTTGAAAGGTGACTGAAATTTAAATGTGTAAGAATACAGAAATTTTTATAAATAAATTCTGAGTTTTGGGGGGGTCCCCTCTTGCACATCCAAGATTTTGTTTTAAGAAGCTGAGGCTCAAGGAAACATCCATCTCCCAACGTTCTCAGAGACTGAAGCCACCAGATGTCACCACCTAGCACACGAAGCTTACCTGGTTCCTTCGGCCAATCCGATTTGGTCCTGGAGGCTTCGTGGGGGACTTGATGCTCTGGGGGCTCCCGCCATTCTCAGCGACCTTCCCTACACTCATTACCGCTGACATCATGGTGTTGATGGAAGACAAATCTGAACCTTCCAAGCCAATGGGCGAACTTGACGTCATTGGGACAAGGGTTACGCGTCTAAGAAGCCTCTGCCATAGAACTGAAAATCGGAAATTGCTGATGTGATCAATGGCATGTTTAGGCTCCCGCCAGAGCCAGTGGCACTGGCCAAGATTACCACACTCTAAGTTGGGCCAAAAGCCTGCCGTCTTCAGTTCAAGCCGAAACTCATATCCAAATTGACCTGAGTTTCATCTAAATGAAGTGTTGTCACACCAAACAATAACCTTGCTCCTTTCTAAGCATGTACCACCGACACAACTCCCAAAGCCACCTGAGGCAGGTCTCTTTGCCTTTCCTGATCTTTCACTGGGCAGAATGGCAAAGGCTGAGCCAAGAATTAGAAAGCCCAGGGTGCTGCCATTTGGCTAGCACCCTCCCAATAACCTGTCTCATTTACTACTACTACAGGAACGGTGTAGACCTGACAGCCGAGAATCATCAGGCTTCACTTAACTCCACTGCTGCAATCCAGTGATTTCAATAGGGAGCCCAATTGTATAAGACAATTGAGATGTGAACCCTATCAAGATTATAACCAAATTTCAAATTAACATAAAAAAGACTGCTTCTTAAAAAACACAAATAGGTAAGATACCTATACCCCAGAAAATGGACAGAAGAAAACCCAGCCCCCACTGCCAATTACCTCCATTTTCTGCCCCAACTGATACACTATGAGATTTCTCCTTGCTATAGCTATCATCCACGTGGAGTAGGAAATGAGTCTGTGCTTCACTTCTTTTTTTTCTTGTCTTGGTATCACTCGTTGACACTGGAAGGGAAGCAAAGGCAAAATGATTCAGTTCATATCTTTTCCCTTAGTTGAAGAAAAAGCTGAAGCCATGTATTGGCTACAATCTCAGACCACAATATTCACAAAGAACACAGGAAGCACAAGCAAGAGGTGATTTTTAAGTCTCCTTTTTCTTCAAAACTGTATTTTATGGTTCTTTTTCAACCTTCACTGATATTCCCTATGGTGCTGTCACCCTTACTCCCAATAGCCAAAAGGATTTTGTGGTAATTTACTTTTGGAAGCACATGCGTCAAATTTCCTTTCATACTCTATCCCACAACCCATAAGGACTCTCAGACTCTGACTTGACCCACCTCCCACCTCTGCCTAAAACTGGCCAAAGACAAGGCAGCTGAGGAAGGAATTCAGTGAAGGCCCACAGTCTGGAAGGTACAGGTCAGACCTAAAGGAAAGCAGGTGGTGAGAAAAGAATGATCAAAGGGAACACTGTGGTGCATGGCCACATCAAACCCTGACTCTTCAGCCCTTCCCGAGTTATACTCTGTGCAAGCAGAAGGATGACAGCTATAGGCATGGCCAGATGTAAGTCCACAGGTCAGAGATTTCCTTTCTTTTATCCCGGAAGATATTTTATAGCTGCAGCCCTGCCAGTGAGCCACATACCCTGCGATCCCACAGCGTGCGTCGGCAAATCTGACAGCCCACCACTGCGGTCAATGGTCAAGCTCATTAGCTCAGCAGCACAGTGAATGCTTAGGAAGAACACCAGAAAGAATATGATTTCTAATGGTTTCCTCCTCCAACTTTAGGCAATGAGACCTAGGATGGGAGAAGTGGTAACACCCACAGGAGCTACAAGTATGTGCGGCACCAGAGCAGGAAAGGTCTGGGAGTATGACTTCATTAAGTGACGTTGCTATCAGCTCAGAAGTCCCAAACTAAAAATCCTTCCAGGAAAATCACAGAGGGACTCAGGAATAGCGCTTTTCTTGTCAAAGAGGCAAAATGTACTTTCTTCTTACCAGACAGTTGGAAGATATGAAACTAATGGTTTCCCAAATGGTAGGAGAAAGGACTAGCTGCAGAAACACTCCTTAAGACAACTAATTCAGCCTCACTCCTCACGTATTTCCTCATAAAGAAAGGAAAAGTTATTAGCAGGGTGGATCCCTTGCTGCGATCTACTGAAAGTCAACCCTTGACACAAAGGTTTGAAGAAAAAAAAGGGAAATTATGATCAAAATTAAACAAAAAAAACCCAACTGTCATCTTTCCATGAAGTTTCCCCATGCTAGAAGACCATTTAAACTTATTAAAGATTGTGCTTCGAACTCTCGATTTTTAACTGTCTTTGAAAGTTTATTTGGGAGATTTCTTTTTAAAAAAGACTATGTGACATGAATGCACACATGTAAGTGCACATGCACCTCACTCCTTTATTAACGCAGTTCTCACTAATCAGCATGGAATTATTGCTTGATCCAAATAAGTAGACACTTCAATCCCCAAATCATCGTCATTCTTTAAATATACTTCCCCCATAATTTTAATGTACCTCAAATTATAAAATGACTAGAAATCTTTACTATAATTATGTCAATAAAAAGAAAATTAGCCTTTCTACCAATTTATAGGAGTTTAGAAGATGATCTTGCTTTTGTCCTATGACTCTACTTAGAAAAATGTAGTAGAGTTTACTCAAATCTGAAAATAGGATAAACACCTTTAAAACTAAAAATAAAATTTTAGGTTAAAATAAAAAACGTATTTTTAAAATATACTTTTTAAGATTTTATTTATTTATTTTTAGAGAGGGGGAAGGGAAGGAGAAAGAAGGAGAAGGAAGGGTGAGAAATAACAATGTGTGGTTGCCTCTCATGTGCCCCCTACGGGGGACCTGGTCCACAACCCAGGCATGTGCCCTAGACTGGGATTCAAACAGGAAACCCTTTCACAGGCCTGTGCTCAATCCACTGAGGTACACCAATCAGGGCTAAAAATATATATTTTAATTCTATCAACATGTAGGGAAAGAAAGTGAAGAGGAGGAAAATAGTCAATATGAAATTAATAAAAATATATTCAGTAAGCAGAGCCAAACTGCTGGTAAGATTTTTTGTTGCAGTCACTATAACATCAAAGACACATTCTTGCAAACTGTGTCCTAAATACAGAATACATAGTAGTAGTCACCACAGCTAATCTACATAAGAACTGAAAGTCACAATGGCTTGTCCCAACTGGAAAAGGAAAAAAGTAATATAAACTTGTTTCCCATTTTGTCCAGACAAGAAGATACTTGCTCAGTTTACTCCCTCCTTTGGGATAAAGCATGATGTCACCCATTGATGACACTGAGATCACCTACACTTACTTCCTTTTCCTGGTTTAAAGGTAAGTAAATAGCAATTAAAAAAAAAAAACACAGAGATTTATCACCTCTGTTCTGCTATACTGTTTGAAAACTCACTATACTCATCCCTGAAGAGCTGTTTCAGAAGCAACCCAAACCAGCCCCTTGAAGCTATTGCAAGATTTTACTCCAGTTCACTCTTATACTTGAATTCCTCATTGGGATGATGTGGCGATGGTGGAGGGAAGAAGGGAAAGAACCTGGTGTGAAACACAATGTAGTGTGTTATTACTCCATGTTGGGAAGAAACTACCTTACCACTGACCTCATTTATGCGCTAATTTAACCAGACACCAGTTGGCCAGTATCAGTCAATTCTACCCACCAGACGCCTGACCCTTGAGTATATTGGAGTAGTAACTCAAACTAATTAACCTAAATTTACTGATACTCAATTGCAGGGAATGGAAGATAAGTTTAGCAGTTTAAGGTCCATTTACAAAGTACATTTTCCTTCATTGATATTTATGTAGTCTTAATATTTTTTATTCTTTGTCCCATTTCTTCTCCCTGAGACCATCCTGCACATCAGCCTCACCACCACAAATAATAATATAATAAAAAATAAAATAAAAATAAAAATAACTGGCTCCATTCTAATACAATCTCCTCCAACTGGATCAGAGAGGACTGGGAACCCAGATGAAATTCCCAAATCACAGGTATGGAAAGAAACCATCATCTTCATTGACATGGCCCAGTGGACTGGCCTGGTATTCCAGTTTTAAATGCCAACAGTCTCGAATTGGGGGTGGGGAGGAAGAAGCAGGATATGGGGTTGTCTGAGGCACTGCTTTTCTTTTGAGACAAAACACTAGGCACCCTTTCTGAGATTTCTCATCCCACATCTCAGGTCCAATAGGTCAAGAAGAACTAGCAATTCAGTTACAATTTCACCGTGGTTTTGCATCAAAGCCTCAGGCAACCTGAGAAGAGGGAGGGCAACATAAAGGGAACATGGGGAGGGGACGGGAGAGGAAGGAAGACTCAACATTCAGAGTTATTGTGACTCAAGGAAAATCAACGAAGTTTAACCGACCTGGTTTTTTTGTTCTTATCACACTGGCCCTCCTTACTGAGGAGCTGGCACTGGCCAGGCCCAAATGTGTGCAGGGTCACACCTCAAAGCCACCACCTCTGGAGCAGAGCAGGAGCAACCTACAAAAATGAGAAAAAGGTGACATTACGAGGGAGCCAACACCAAAAATGATCCCATCTCTGTATTTCTCCACTGGATACCACCAGGAGGCACAAATTAAGAACAAAACATTTCCCACCCACTTCCTGCACTTCATAAGCAAAGCTCCCAGCTCCTAGCCCAATTCCACCCAGTGGTCCGTTAGCATCCAGCAAGAGCAGTGGCAGTTATGTGGGAGTCCGAGACAGCCAGGAACTCTCAAAGCATGCTCCAACAATTCCAAGGATGGTATCACCTCAAAATGGCTTGGACACTGACTCCAGGTGGAGCTTCAAGAATCTTAATGACATGTTAATGCTGATGGGTGAAGGGCAAGGCATCACTTACTATCGGAAACAGAGAAGAAAAGAAGAGCTGAAGAAAGTACAAAACATGGAACAGCCCTTCAATGTAAAGGAGGACTATACATCTTTTCTTGAGTGATGGAAGAACTGTCCATAACAGTTCAAATAGGACCAAATGCCTTATTTTTATTTTCTATAAAGAAGACACAGAAAACGACTCAAATTACATGCACCCTTCAAGAGCCTGAGAATGTCTATTCTGGGTGTCAAGGGCCTCAAATGCCTGGCTGGGGAGAAAGCTGTGTCTGGCCCTCCACAATGCAAGAGAAAACTGGGACGCAGCATTTGCCCAGAGCGACAGCATTTGGCCACTCTCTAGGTCTCTGGAAACAGCATCCATAGCAAAACTGAAGAGTGAAGAACTGGTAATAAAAATTAAGTAAAATGGACTGCCACACAGACAAAACCTGTTGAGAAATACTTGCTTGGTGTGTTTTCTCATATGTATTCCCTTTTGGGACCTCAAGAAAAGCTGCCCAATCATGTGACATGCCCGGTGACACGCCTCTGTGTGCACGGAGTTACTGAGCACCTAAGGCAGCAAACCTCTGCCAGACCCGCCTGTTGCGACGTGGGGTGTGTGTGTGTGTGTGTGTGTGTGTGTGTGTGTGGGCGGGGGGGGGGGTGAGGGAGCCTCCCAAGCCGTTTCTGTTAGAAGCAGCTCCTCGTGGTTTCTGACACTGTGACAGCTTCTCTCACTGCACACCCCACTGCTTCAATTCGTCATCTTTTCTTTTTGGGCCTTTCATTTTTGAAAAGATCTCTGGATTTTGAACAAAGCACTGCATTTTGCTACGTATAATGTGATCCCGTGTATCTGCACACCTACGGTTTTGGCCCAAACTTTTGGGGGGAAAAATCTTTCCTTTTAATGTTTTAACTCAATTATTTATTTATTTTTAGAAGCAAAGCCGATTACTGTATTCCAGGATATTATTTTGCATATGGATACTGTTATTGCTTTCTAGAGTTATACTTTTAATGCATAAGCATAAATAAAGAATTTAAAAATTTATATAGATACAGAATTAGTGCTACCCATGTATAATTTACATCCTTATTCTTCCCTAAAAAATTTGGGCAAAAAAAGTGCGCATTATATATAGCAAAATACAGTATGAAGAAACACGGAGTAACTCATAGGGATAGCCTATGAGTGGGGCAAGGATCTGAGGAAAATTATGGACCCTCCCACAGAAATATGCATAGTTTCTACATCTAACATTTTCTTTCAGTGTTGGGAAGGCTGGGGACCCCAGAAAGCCATCTGGGATAAGTGGAAGAAGAATCCTGGTTTTACTTGATATATAACCCATGTTCCTTTAAACTATGAATTAAGTCAATTTTATTAAGATTCCTATGAGATTTCAGAAATATGGGAACAAAATATCCTTTCAGATCATCCCCAGCCATCCAAACTTAAAGATGCCTAAGGCAAAGTAAAACACTGTAAAAAATAAATAAATAAATAAAAAGGCAAGGTTTCCCTGTTATTATTCTTTTTTTAATTAATGGCACATTTTGTTAGGAATAGAGTCTAGAGAGGAACTGTTGCATGCTTTTTTCTAGAAACAGCCAAGATCTCCAAATAACTGAACATTTCTACATGTAAGTAATAACACATCACAGAGACAAGTCTCTGAATTTTTTTCAGAATTTAACTAAGAGTATCAAAATTTGGACATACTCTCTCCCTTTATTTAAAAAAAAAAAAAAAGATATTTTAGAAAGTCCAAGTAACCTCTCAGTACATCTGGGGAAAGACGGGGAGGAGAGGGCCAACCTGACAGACTTGACACTGGAACTTTGATCCTCTGATCTCCAGTGTAAATGGTATGAATATTGAGAATGTCTTGCAAGTAAGCTCAGTAACAAGAGTCGCTACCCTGTTTACTCTGGGCTCCATGAGGCCAGAGGGATTCACAGAACTCAGAGTGGAAAAGTACAGGACAGTTCTTGGACAAAAACCCAAGATACCCCTTCCTTCTATCAACACTACCTCAGGAGGAAAGGGAAAAAGGCGGGGGGAGAGGGGGAAGCCGGGTGACAAAGCCTGTGCCCTAGAAGATGACTCCTGTAGGGAAATGTGACAACACTGGCTGGGGACGGGGAGGCTCTGGCTCCTGAGGGAGGATGCTGAAATTCTGGGTTCGCATCCCCACACAGGCTTTGCCCAGGTCCAGTGGAAGCAGGATGGCCTGGGGGAGAGGGTTCCTCTGGGAGGATGACGGGAGGGGAGGCCAGCTGTCCCCACCCACCACGGGAGATAAGGCACAATGTCCTGTAAAGCCTCGAAGATTAAGAAGCCCATCCCTAGGTCCAGAATAGCAAAAAAGAGATGAAAGATAAAAGGGAAGATAATGCAGAAACAAAGCTATCCAGTTTCTGAAAACCCTGCAGATTCTTAAGGTACAATCTAAAATCTGTCCTAAGGTCCCAAAGAAAGATGGGCTAAGTTTAGATGCCAGGGATGACAGAAGAGCCCCCCGCCTCCCTCCGGGCCATGGGAACTTTGCGACACCAATCCAGGAGAGGGGCTGTGCCGAGCCTGCACCGAAGTCCTCAAATATTTGGGGTGGTTGATCCACTGATTGGAACAGCCTTAACTAGCTGGCCAGTTCCACACGACCCAGTACAGGCTGAGAGCGTTTAAGAGGAGTTCAGATACTAAAATGTTGTGAGCTACTATGGAGTTTAACAGCAACAAGGACATCTCTGGGAGGAGGGGCTGAGGCAGAAAGGAAATATTCTTCCCCAGTCTTGGCTAGCTGGGGACAGAACCAAACCAGACTAGATGTTGCAGCATGGCACTGCCTGTTCTCCCCTGCCTGCCAAGCTCAGGGCAAAACCGTCTCCTCTAACCAGGACAGCCTTCCGTGTGCTCTGAGGCCTGGGACAGCTGCGATGACAGCTCTGAGTTCCAGGAAGTTGATGTGTTTCTTGGCTTAGGGTGCAGCCTCTGCCTTGGATAGGGCGGCACCCATGCAAGTCACCCTCCCCCGGCTGACATGAGCTTTGGTCCAAGGGGGCCTTAGAGGGTCACAGAGAGTGGGCCCTGCACAAACAGGCACTGTGAGCTGTTCCAGCCAGTTCTGGGGACCACTAAGAAGAGGGGAGAGGCACCCTTAGGCCCACATTCAAGACAGCAAAGTACGAAGGGGTGGGGAGACTGCAACCCGGGGACCCAAGACCAGGTGTGTGGGCCTCCCATTGATTTGTCTTCTGATCTCTGCCTCAAGACTACAGGAAACACTCAGACTTTTTAACCTGTCGTTCAAAGCCCCTTCTGGCCTTCTTGCTCACCAGTCTTCACAGTTATCTCTGTTCAGTTTCTTCTCCCAGAACATTACTTTCCCCATCCCCTCCCTCAGGGGCCACTTTCCACATGTAGCCTAGCTTCCCCAATCCCCACTCACCCTGGGTTCTTAGTTCCAAACTTGAACTCTGAAGTAGTAGCACAGCTAATACTTTTTGAATTCTATCTATCACATGCTTTAATGTTTGTAACAAACACCCTATGAAGTGTACAGAAAAGATAATGAAGGTGTAGACATAGGCGAGAGTTAAGTAACTTGCCCCCAACATCATGGTGGTATGGCGATGTGAATCCAGTGTCTATGTCTGTTAAGTTTCTTCTGGGCAAAATCTGCAACTCCTAGCACAGGGCTTGAGAGAACAGATGTGCTCCCGCAGTCACATCCTCTGACTTCTGACAATCACATTCTGAGTCACTTCTGCCCTTCCAGACTGTTCAGTGCCTAGCCTGCCATTTCCTTCTATTTCTAGGCAGGAAGAAGGAGTCTCTCCTCCCACCTTCACCTTTGCCTTACTCTCTGTGCAGGAGGCAGCACTGGACTTCCATCTCAGACTAAAAAGTTCATTGCGCAGGGCAAGAGTTTGCAACCACTTGCTGCCCTCACTGCACAAGGGATGGAGAACTCCACATCCTACAGAGCCAGGTTCTAGAAGCACTTGGGCAAGGAGACCGGAAGGAAGCCAGCAGTCTCTGCCTGAGATCCCACACAGCCCAGTCCTGTCTGAGTGGCTGGATCTAATTGATCTAACGAATGTGAGCTCGAGCTGAGAAGTGACCTGTGTGCTCAGGTTACTTGTGCTTCCATGAAAATGGAATGTAGACCTGGAACAAAAGGAAACTCTGATGGGGATGCCCATACTTTCAGGTGCTGGGGTTCCAAAAATGTGTGTGCATGGGCAGTAGTGGGGGGCAGACAATAGGGAGCAGAGATGGTGGGGAGTGAGTAGCCAGAAGTGCACAGATAAAAAATTAAGCAAACACCAAGCAAAGAAAATCTTAGAGTCTCATGGAATGAGTTAGAAGTTACCTGCCACCGAACCGCCAACAGAGCCATCCCAAAGACTAGTCCCTGTCCAGCCACGTTGAAGACCTTTGTCAGAAATGCAGGTTCTCAACATAGGGAGGTCATTAGGTGGTATTACACCTTAACCGTACATGGGGCTGAAAAATACAGATTTTTGGGCCTCACCCCAGTGGTCCGTGTGTCAGCTCCCAGGGGACTGTGACCCAGCCTTGGGAACCAGCACTTGTCTTCCAGAATTCTGGAAGGAGGGCAATACCAAACCAATGATCTCCCTGA